GTTGCAGGATCTACTACTCCCCTGTGGTTATCATGTGAATGAGAAACTGGGGTTCATATTCAGACCCAGGAAAGAATGACAGTGCTTAGCAATACCGACTAGAGTCAACAGTCCGGGCCACCTTCGGGCATCACTCTCACCTACGTACTGTGTCACACAGCCTCTAAGTCCCAGAGGAGAAGCCATGGAGATTACACAAGTGTGAACGGCAAACTTCAGCCAAACGGGAGCCCAGTTTCTCATTATTCTCAGAGAATAAACAAGTTTCATCAAAGCACTGCGACTTTCTGAAATTAACATATCCTTAACCTTCACAACAGAATTACAGATAAGACTCCAGTTAATGAATAATGAGGTGGAGTTCTTTAGGAAAATGAGGTTAAATACCTTCCTCAGTAGAAGCACCTACAATACATCAAACTGGGTAAATCAAATGTTGCCTAGAATGAATCTGCTAGAGTGAAAAGAATTACTTAAAACTGGCATACCAGTTAGGTGGAAATAGGATCTTCTGAGAATGTTTAGATAATTACTGTGAACCGCAAGATGTTTGAAGTGCACTTTAAGAAGTGTTCTGAAGTATCTAACTTCTCCAGGTAATTTATTCTGCAGGTTGGAAAACCAAGACTGCTGGTGTAGTAGAGGTGGCTAGAGCAACGGGAGAAGAAAAAGGAAGGTACAAAGACCGGAGTCCTCTGGGGACATCGGTTTCACTGACAAATGCCATCTCCAACATGCTGTGTCCCTTGGACTTCTCTAAATTCCTGCTTCTGGGCTCCGGGCCATGATGCAGAAGTCCCAAGGTAAGCTGGAACTCAGAATGAAGACCGGAAGACTGACTCCAAGTTCAGCTGCAGTCTCAGCCAAGAAAGTTCAGCCCTGACCGGAGAGGGAAGCCCATACTGCCCCCTCTTGGCGACTCTGGCTGGGCCTCATCCCTGTTCTCCCTCTGCCACAGGCAACCATCCAGACTCCCTGCTTCTTGCTGTGACTAGAACATTCCCAGAGAGGGCAGGTGACAGGGCTCTGGAAAGAAACCTACATTCACTTTTTCTTGTCCACTGATGCCAAAGGAAACAAGATGCTGAGGTCTCATCTCAAGCTCAGCTGATCCAACATCAAACGCATTTCTACACAAGCCTGCTCCATCTGCATCCATTGCCACCCCAGTGCACATGACACCGGCAAGTCCTGGTTTTCCTGGAACCGTTCAGGACACATTCTTGTGGCCTGCTAGTCACCAAGGCCAGTGGTTCTACCTCACAGAAGGGTGGGAGGAGACCCTGAAAGGCCTGTAGGCACCAGGCCAGCACCTTCCCTCACCTCCGTTTGTCCATCCTGGGCTGTGTCCAGGTGGTCTTGTCTTGCTCCCCTCCGCCACATGGGCCCATGGACTCTGCCAGCCTTGCTTTACCCGTGAAGACACAGGATGCATAATGCGTTGTGCTGTGCGAGTGGGGGTTTGCCATTTAGATGAGCAGGACAAACACAGCCCTGTGCCAACTCATGGTAGCCAAAGCAGCTGGACGGAGCTGCAGAAGGCAGAGAGAAACAAGTCTGGCTCTCAAGCACTCCTGGCACCGGGTCAGGGCTTTTAACATACACACTCTGATCTGTTACCTAGAACAAGGAACTGGATACAGGTAGAGTGAGGTTTGAGAAGCATTTCTATCTTTTACCAGCTGTGTGTGATCTTAGCTTTCTAATTTTCTGCTCTATAAAATGGCAATGTTGACACATCACAGGGTTGTGAGGATCAAATAAGTTACACCATTTAGCCTGTGCCATGATTCGAATGTTTGCATCGCTCCAAAATTCATGTTGAAACTTAATCCCCGGTGCAAAAGCACCAACCGGTCATTAGGAAGCGATTAGGTCACCAGGGCTCCACCCTCACTAATGGGATTAGTAACCTTATAAAAAGTTGAAAGCCCGTTTAGCCTTTCATGCTTCTGCTCCTTCCACATGGGAACATCGTGAGAAAGTGCCACTTCTGAGAAAGGGGCCCTCCCCAGACACTGAATCTGCTGGCACCTCGATCTTGGACTTAGCCGCAGAATAGTGAGCAACACATTTCTGTTACGTATCAATTGCCCTGTCTAAGGCATTTTGTTACAGGAGCAGGAATAGACAAAGGTAGAATGCTTGGAATGGTGTCTGGCACTGTCCTAAGTAACTGTACTTAGTAATTTTCAACTTTCATTAATTTAACCCTCTTCACAATGCTCTGACATAAGGCCGATTCATTTAGTCGAGGGCTCATTTAGGGAGGTAGAGACTTATGAGGCGGACCCGAAAGAGCATCCAGCCCAGTGTGGGAGACAGACAAGGAGAGGCCAAAGAGTACAGGGCATGTGAGAGGGTCGGCAGCTAAGGGCTGGGGAGAGAGCTCGCCTCCCGGCTCACGCTGCATGTGGGTTTGACGCCACAAAGGCGAGGAGAGAAGTAGTGTAGCTGCCTTCTGGCGAGGGGGCTGGATGGGCCCACTGTCCCCTGAGTTAGACCCCGACCTAGGGGTGGTGGGGAGCCGCTGAAATCCCCATGTCAGTACCGTGACATGTAGAGGAGGTTCAGCAGCAGGAACTGTGGAAACAGCGTAAGAGGGCACAAGCGGAGAAGCCTGGGTGGGGAGGAGAGATGAATTCAGGAGGAAATCAGTCAGGGCCGGCGCAAGCCAAACACTGTGGTTATATAAGGAAACGGTGGCTACCGGCTCCACATTCTCAGAGCTCTGATACTTCCGCCCAAGCACAGCAGCCCCAGGACTGTGAAAGAAGCTGGGCACGTCAGCTACGCTCAAGTTAAAAAAGAAAGGAAGAAAAAAAGGAACAGAGGCCATTTGCATGTTGTCTTAAAACCAGGTTGTTTATTGGTACATACATACCCACACTCACACCCACACTCATCCACACACCCGCTCCTGATGCACTGAGCCAATACAGTACTGAGAAGGACCCAGGGAGACACGGAGGCCAACGAGAAGGGCTCGGGTCCCTGTGACTCTCCAAAGAAAAAAATACATCGGCTGTGAGGCAAGCGGTACACCAACATAACACGGTGTGCGGTGTTCTCCATCCTCTCCCTGTGACCCTTCCCAAGGGGCCTGCGGCCTCACGACGTGGCCAACCGTGTCAGGGTTGCTGTAGGAAGGCCAGGCTGAGGCTGACCCTCCCTTGTACCTAGCCCATGGACAGTCAGCCCCCTGAAAGAGTCGATGCCTTCTAGCACTCCGCTCCACCTATCTGAGAAACCTGGGCTTTCTCCATAACTTCAGCCTCCATTACCCTGAAATGCGGCTCGCCCTCTCTATCTGGTTCATTTTCCACTCAGTAATTCTTCCATCTCCCTTCCCAGTAGCTTGACAGGAAGGGCAGGAAACAAGGAACAAGAGCAAGGCAGGTGGCTGCCTGCTCCAGTCCAGGTGAGAGCCCTCCCAGCTACACCCCTGGCGGGCTCTCCTCCACCAGGCAGAGCCCAAGGCTCTGAGACACAGCACAGCAGTCTCCCTCCTCAGGGCAGCGTGCTCCAGCCTACTGCCCTCCCTGCTAGTCCAGCCCTTGTTCAACCCAAACAGATCACTGGGTCACAAACCAGTTGCTTCAGCCACTTGTAGGAGGCCACTGTGATGGGCCCTCTCCAATAAGCATGTCTGACATTTCTTTCCCTCTCCTCTCTCTCCAAGGAAGCCCCAAGTTCCACTGACCTGCCAAACACTTTTAGGCACCTTGTTAAGTTGGAGGAATGGGTGAGGAAGAGGGATTTCTTGGGAATAATAGTCCTCCCAATCACCACCTGCATCCAGACAGCCTAGTTCCCATCATGCTGCTGGGGAAAGAAATTAAAATGGCAGAAGCTGGGCGGGCCTCAGGAATTTCTAGAGAAGACGGTCCTTGAACACCACAAGAGCCCCAGGGAAGGGATGGATGAATTGGGGACAAGGAGGAGTGACTGGATTTCCTGAACCAGGGACGTGATTCACTGAAGAGGAAGCTTTAATTTCTTCCTGGCAGGTCAGAGGAAGGAAATTCCAGGCTGCCTTTTCCCCAAACCTGATTTTAGGGTCGTCTATTCAATCCACCCATACGGTTTGTTCTTATGGGGCTGGGGTTAAGGAAGCAAGGCAGAGGAGGATGGCAGCGGAAGGGACGCTGGTGGCAGAGGCAGCAGCGCAGTTAGATCTGTTTGGGCCCAGGCGCCCCCAGGGCTGGGGCTGGGGCCATTTCCACTGCCCTCGGGCCGTCAGCCCGCACTCTGGCCCACCGGTCTACACTTCTCACCAAGCAAGGACTGAGTTTTTGTATCCCCAGTCGGCCGTGGCCCAAAGCTCTGGGGTCCATTCCCCTCTGACTCTTCCTAAATTCGCATTCAGGGTTCAGCTTAAACCAGGCTCCAGCATTCCTACGATCGTCCTTCTCCCGGCCTCTCCATCCTGAGAGAATGTGGTCTCCTGTAACTCTGCAGCCCCCCAGGCAAGAAGAGGCAAGATCTGCAAACTGTGGCGATGGTTTTAGAGGACGTGTGATGTTGGAGGTGCCAGAACCAACCTCAGATCATCTGGTACCAGGGCCAGAGTGGACAGGGGCCACGAGGCGGCTTAACTCAAGCAGGACAGAGTCTGCGGTGCCCCTTTCCTGGAAGGCCTAGGATTCTGGTCCCGGAGGAGGGCAAAAGCCCAGACCCGGCTAGGTCCAGAAGACACTGGGTGACCTCACCCCCACCAGGGCTGCCCTCTCTCTCCCGGAGAATCCCAAGCTTGGGCAACCTGGGTGTCTCCACTACACCGGGAGACCCCAGCCCCGTCCAGGCGACTTACAAAGGGCACGCGGTGGGGGTCGGGGTAGTAGTGGGATGCCGAGGGGCTAGATGAGTATATTCTGAGATCCAGGAAAACCGGAAAGTCACAGACGAGACTAGATGCCGCGGGAGGCAGGGGAACGCGGGAGAGGTCAGGGCCGGCTGGGTCTGTGAAACCAGGAGGACACCAGCCCTGCCGGCCGCGGCTAGTCCCGGAAGGCGGAGAGCATGTGTCCGTAGAGATAGTGGGAGTGAGCTAAGAGAGAGGAGACACAGACCGGTGAGGAGGAGTCAGTCCGTCCCCCGGCGACGGGTGGCGGGGCGTGGGCAGCAAGCTCCCAAGTGCAAAGCGCCCCGGGCCCCTGCAAGCGGGCAG